TTTGAGTACCAAATATATAAGATTCTCCATAATATACAGTATTTCTCGACACATATTTCTTACGGTTATGTATGTGTGAGTCAATGAACTTTTTTTGGTGAGTGAATGGAAAAGGGCTCACATTTTGGGTGATATTCTCACTGAATATGACTACAGAATCTGTATATGAATATGAATATGAATTTTGAATTTTTGAGTTTTCTGTCTAAAAGTAATCACTCATTAAATGTTTGCAAAAATTTTATATATATTTTTTGGTGAGAAATAATTTTTGTGAACACTTTTATGGAGAGAGAGAGAGAGAGAGAGACTGATGAGTATATATACACCATATATCACATAATGGCAGTGAAACTACATGTCAACCACCAGTACAACGATATTCATTCATTTTTTGCCATACATTTCCCTCAATATTGGTGTGACATTTACACCGTATATACGAAAATTAGCGCAAAAAGTGGAAAGTATGCAAAAATAGCTGTCAGTTCCTCAAACATATTTCTCTCGCTAGTGGTGTGAATAACGACTAATCATAACTTTTTTCTTATGACTGACTTTTTTTGCCACAGAATAAGAATTTTTTTGTCGTGAAAAATATCTCTTAAGCTTTTGGATGTGATTATGGTTTGTGGGGAGAGAGAGAGAGAGAGAGAGAGCAAAAAATTTCATTTAATATATTAGATATTTAAGTGCAGAGATAGTGAGTATGAGCTCTAAAGGCGATTCAAATTTCAAATAATATATAAGCTTTAAAACGAGTGTTGAAAGTCTTGTTTGCGACAAATATAAGTCATATATGAGTTTTATATTACTTTTTCACTCTCGCAGTTGTCATCAAAGAAATCCCAGTTTTTATATGTTATGTGCGAACGGAATATGAATTTTTCTTATGTCGAGAAATACTGTATAAAATGTCTTTAAGATTAGGGAATATTTTTTGAACATTTGCAGTAAAATTCACATTGATGTCTATATTATATTTCTATTGATTGTGTGCTATTTACAAACTTATTTTTACTAAGTTTTGAAACAATTTTTTTCATTTTTTATTCCAACCCTTTGCTAATTAAAAATAATTTCACTAGTCTAGTGCACATATTCTGCGTGTAATGTTAATTTTAAACATGTTTTAAGCAAATTCTGGTTTTTTTGTTTAGGTTTTTATGCTTTTCTTGAGTGTTAAAACTTCTGAATTACTGATTGAATGCTTTTTATTTAAGGAATCGTGTGTATAGTATTCGCCAAATATTACAAACAAATCAATTATATGTTATATTCTGTGTCCCGAAATGTATGAATAATTTTTGTTTAGAAAACGAGTGACAGTTGTGTTTCACGGAAGGAGTCGGAGAGAGAGAGAGAGAGAGAGAGAGAGACTGAAGAAAGAGAATTGATTATAACAGTTGTAATCAATTTTTCACACAAAATGCTATTCTTATGCTTCAATTGAATGGTTAGCACCGAAAGTGATGGTGTTTTTAGGCATCACTTTTTGCATAACATGTATAGTATGTTGCGATACATGTAGACAATACTCGGCATCTTATCCGAGATATAAGTGGAAATGGATATGTATTTTTGATTAATGAGTCTTAATAGATATGTCCGTATGATTGACTAGAATATTACAGATATGGATGTCAGAGGAAAGTTGGCTTTTTTTGTGTGTGTGGCTCACCAAAAATCGCGGGTTTTTAGGTTTCTAAGTGTGATTATTATGGATTAGAGTTTTGATTTATTAGTTTCTCATATGTTTTATGTATGAGAACTCCTATTCCGGGGATAGACATCCCATGTATCCATACATTCATTCATATACTGAACGAGTGATATGCAAGAAAAAGTAATATATTTTTCTCATACTATTTGACTGATATTTAATATTTGTGCAAAAACTTCATTTTTATAATTAAATACTTAATTTTAGATTATAATGTAAATATTTTTTTCCGTACTTATCGTATATTTTAATACATTGAGATTATCAGCGATTTTAATCTATTTCTATATATAGCTAATAACTAAAACTCATTAGTAGCGTGTTTTCAGTGGAAAAAATTACAAATGTATATAATTTACAAGACATACGGTTTGCTAATAATCTGCGATAATTAATATAAATCAAAGGGTTATAAATATATTGGTTAGATGTTTGAGATTACCAGAGTTTAAGAGGGGTTTAACCCCATATGCTAAGTATGCGAATGTGGAAAGGGATGCGAGAGAGAGAGAGAGATTAGTTTTGCATCTCTTCACGACATTGACATTAGAGCCGTCATAAAGGACTGGTAGTCAAGGGGTGGGTAGTGGGTAGGGGTGGTATAACTTAAGTAATAAAAATTATGAATTAATAAAATAAGATTTGATTAGGCATATTGGTACAGTTATTGTGTATAAGACCGTGAAAATAGTTTTAAATGTATAAATTTATAATAATTAATATAATATATTCTGGGTTTAAATTTTAATAAATTTATGGCAATATGTTAGAGTAGTTAGTAAGCTGTCAACCCCTGTGCGCATCTCCAGTGCCCCTCACATCTCATACATAGATAGAGAGAGTGAGCGAAAGTGTATAACAAATAGCTTTTGGGAGCGAAATGTATTTGAAGGCAATTGAATCGCTTCTAAATTTGTCAGCATTTGTGCACATATTCCGCATTCAATGCACATGTTATGCACTGTTTGAGAGGGAGAGAGAGAGAGAGGGAGAGAGAGAAAGAGAGAGAGAGAGAGAGAGAGAGACTGAAGAGAGAATGAATTTCTTACAGCGAAAACCAAAAAATCAATTTTACCAGAAAATCACTAAAACTTAGTCTCTCTCTCTCTCTCTCTCTCGTGGTATAATAGCTCATAAATTGTCAATTTTCGCACCGTTTTTGTGTTTGCATTGATATATGGATACTTAATCAGTTTTGTGAATCTATGCACTTATTTACGCTGTTTATCAATAATACGATTTAAGAGTAAATTATAAAGTTTCTGAACTTTTGTTTTAAATCTTAAATTTCCATTCAATGAGATACTGGTTTCCGTGAAACGGATGTCACTGTGAATACATATGATTTGAGGGGGAAAGGCGTGTATAGTTGTGGTGCACGTGTTGTTACCAGATATAAGATGCACTTTCTCTCTCACTGACATCCATATGCCTTAACTGTATTAGCGTTCAGTTAACACAAATTAAACACTACGTACGGACTGCCACCCGGAAAGCTAACAGCGCTGTGACTGTCACCTAAATTTTGGACCATTGAGTGGGGCTGACACAGGGAGGGCTGTCAGTCAATTTTCACACATACTTCTCCCTTAGTTTATGTCTTACAATATGTTTTATGTGTTAAACACATCACTAGTATATACAGATGAGAGAGAGAGAGAGAGAAGCCTCAGTTGTGTCATACATACTGTTCCTATCATCTCCAATATCTCCCTTTCCCTTACCATTTCCTAGCCCTACCCATTACGCGTACGACCACCTGTGACCGCCATAGAACTACCATTCCCTTCACGTGACTTGTGATCTATGAAATTTGTACTTTAAATGTGTTTTACGTTTTTTAACAGTTCCCCCAAAACCACTAATTAAGTGAAAACTTAGAGGCAATTGAACTCCGAGTTTATGATCCTTTTCGCTCATCTCTCTCTCTCTCTCTCTCTCTCTCTCTCTCTCTCAAACAGTGCATAACATGTGCATTGAATGCGGAATATGTGCACAAATGCTGACAAATTTAGAAGCGATTCAATTGCCTTCAAATAATGATAGGAACAGTATGTATGACACAACTGAGGCTTCTCTCTCTCTCTCTCTCTACATCTCTCTAATGGTTTATACAATAAATATTTACAAATTAATACAAATAGATCCATAAGAGTCGCTGTAGTACTGCATCGAAAATACAAATTATGTTCTTAAACTTCATTTTCATTAATAAAAGTCACTAAATATTATGCTAAAAAATTAGGTTTCCATTTACAGCATCCCTATCCCATAGAGATTATGTTCAGTATGTCTGGGAGAGAGTGTGTGCGCTCTCATCCACTGATTTATAGCCGGCACATAAATTATAGCAATTTATTTATAAATACATAACTATATATTTACAATGCATTACAAACGCCAAGAATTTCATAATTAATTTCAAATTCTTTGTAATAAAAAAAATCTTTTTGTTTTGTTTTTGGCTGTTATAAAATGTATTTAAATCTTAAACGAGTAATAAGTTTATTTAGGAAAAAATAAAACTCATTTTCTATATTATATAAGATATTAATAATAAAAAGTATGTCTTTCCACACAATACCAGTGCTAACAATGCATTTCAATCTCTTCAGCCTCTCTCTCTCTCTCTCCGCTCACTCACTCACTCTCTTCAACACATACACACAATGTTAAGCCATAGCCCGGCCCACCGGCACATCCCATACCAGTCCCCGGCATCCAATGCCATATAAGAATCGGAGTCGTCGTCGCCTCGAAAACTCCTGACTCCGACTGGTATGGTATGGCCTCTGTCTCTCTCTCCCATCTCCAGAGCACTGGTATCACAAATCGCATGGTTTGGCAATAAGATGCCAGTGCTAGAGAATAGCGCCTGATGTTTGTGTATATTGTATATATAATTGTCATATATTTTAGGCATACAATACATACACACACACTGACTCTACCCGTGCGATGCCTACCATCCCTATAAGCCATTGCATATAAATATATTGCTGTAATAATATATACACGCGCGCCGATTGTGGGAACTGTATGCGCGCTCACCAGTACCACCACCACCACCAGCACCGACATCAACAATAACATCAACAACAACATCGACACATCCATACCTACCAGCCCTACCGAGACACTGATTTCAGTCTCTCATATACACATACCGGTGCTCCGGACGGTCTCACCCGAGCGATGCTATTATTACTATTAATATACAGCCTTTAAGTCATAATATTGTTTGTGTTTCGCGGACATCAATACCACATAAAAAACTATGCATCCGTTCAACGGGTCAGACCAGTCGTACTACCCGTACGGCTACTCGGCCGCCACGGCCAACGTCTCGCACCACTTGTCCAGCAACAACCTCTACACCTCATCGCCCGGCGCCGGCTCTACACCGCCCGTACCCGGCGGTCACTCGCCGGGCATATCGCGCTATACTATGCTGAAGGGTATCGGGTACTCACCCTACGGCCCACCCGTGCAGTACCAGAGCGGGCTGGCCGGTGGAGTGCCGGGCAGTTCGCTGCTGTCAGCCGGCAAAGAGATGGTCAAACCTCCCTACTCTTACATAGCGTTGATTACGATGGCCATCAACGGGTCGCCCGATAAGAAGGTGACCCTCAATGGTATCTATCAGTTCATAATGGATAAGTTCCCGTTTTATCGCGAAAATAAGCAAGGTTGGCAGAATAGTATCAGGCACAACTTGTCGCTGAACGAGTGCTTCATCAAAGTGGCCCGGGATGATAAGAAACCGGGTAAGGGTAGCTACTGGACACTGGATCCCGACTCGGTCAACATGTTCGACAACGGGAGTTACCTGAGGCGGCGCCGGCGGTTCAAGAAAAAGGATGCCATTAAGGATAAGGACGTCACCGATCCCTGTGCTCAGTCGGTAGGCGCCGCGAAGGACAGGCGCGCGAACGCTAATAGTTGTGCCAATGCTAGTAATAATAATAATACTATCGGTGCTGCCGTTAAGGAGCTACAGGGGCTGTCGAACGCTGGTAGTCGACGCTTGACTGATAGCCAACTGAAAGGTACGGCCGATGATGGGTCGGCCGCCAAAGGCAACGCCAACTCCAGTCCTAATCATAATAATGGTAGTAATAACGGCAACAGCGCTACCGGCCCTCATCGCACCGGTAGGTCGATCTCAAGATACTCGCCGATCAGGCAGTCGTCGCCCAATTCATACATCTCTCGACCAGCCATAGGGACCGTCATATCAATGGCCAACAGTAGCGGTAACGGCGGAACCGTAGCCCATAATCAGCAACACATACCGGTGCCCACTAGTATACAGTCGCGCGTACTTCTCAACCAAATCATCAATAACTGCAATAATAGTAGTGATAGTGTTGTGAATATCGGCGCCGGTATGTCCGGCCAGGCGTTTAAGAAGGAACTCATAGATAAGTGCGAACTGTCCTCATGTATGCAAAACAGCATTCACTACCCGTTCCCTGACGTCAAGGCCAACTGCGCCCGAGATATACTCCAATACCAGCCCCACCACCAGCACCCGGGTATGTCGGCGCTGGTAGGCCAGGACGATGTGATCACTGCCAGTGATTCGATGGACAACCCTATCAACAGCTTCTCAGTGGACGGCCTAATGGCCGGCCGTGTGGGGAACGGTAACCTAATTCGGGGCCAATGTTTGTACAGTACGTGCTCACCGCCTATGGGCACGAGTAGCCCGCACGACACCTACTCGCCCCCTCTGGACGCCCACCACTACACCTCGGACAGGCTGTCCGACCCTCAGGCCATGGGTATAGTGATCGAGGATATCAGTGCAACGGCACTGAGCACCGGTAGCGGTCACCTGACAGTGCAGGCGACGGCCACCGCCAGCCTGAGCGCCGGGCCCTACGATAGGAACGGCTGGTACTCGACGGCTGCCACCGATTCGCCCGAATGTGATACCAGTGACGGCGGGCCGACCGACCGGCAACTATACGCCAGCGCCTGTATGCGCGATATGTACGACAGGGCTCACCAGCAATCGGACAGTAACGGCGCTGCCGTGGCTACCAGTGCCGGACTGTCGCCCCAAATGAATACAGTGAGTAACTGTCTGTATGTGAATAGTAGTGCCGATAGCTTTCCGACTAGTAGTCCGACGGCTAGCGTGACAGTGGGCACCGGTAGCGCGTATTACCCCAACTGTCGCAGTCCGTAGTCATACATACGATTAATTAGAAATTTTTGCATATTTTCTGTTTTTTGAATATAATTTTGAGTTTAAATCCTAATTACAGTCGACTCTCGTTATGATAAAACGGTTTTGTATTTTGTATTATAATATAAACTAAACATTTCGTGTGTTTACTCGTAACGCAAACATCAGTTTTAATGTTTATCGGAATATTTTTGGGCTAAAAATAGTGAATAGTTTTTCGGGTGAAATAAAAATTGTATTTAGAATTAAAGTCGAGAAATATTTTTATGTTTTTATCGATCGATAAGAATATTCTGTGATTTAGTTTTTTTTGTTTGATTAGTAGTCGTTTTATTATAACGAGAATTAATTGTAATGTAGATATAAATGATTATAAATTATAATTACATTCATTAAGAATCCTAATATTACTGTAGAATAACGAGCTTTTGAATGCATTTTACACACCAATAGGTAAATTGTTTTCAAACAAAAATGTATAATTTTATTTCGCCTCACATATTAGTTTTAAACATTACATACAATTCTTACGCTTAATAAACATTTGGATAAAAAAAATCTCACCAAACAAAAAATTGTTATACATTTTCGATCGTTTAAAACACACTGTAATTATATTCATATACATTATACATAGTGTACAATACGTGAGTGCAAAAATTGGTCGAGATATATACATACATATAATTTATATGTTATATAATAAATTCATGAAAATTACTGCCATTTTATGCGATTGCCGAGAG